GTCCCGGTCCGGTATGGGCGCGACACTGAGGGTTGCGGTCCGTTGCCGGACATGAAAAAAAGAAAAAGACAAAAAAAAAAAAAAAATCTCCCAAAAATGAGCTTAACAGCTACTATTTTAAAAATCTAACATGACTTATTTTTTAGAAGTTTTTAATTAACAGTGGCTGTGTGACAAAAGGTGCTTATTTATGAGGGATTAGACTTCAGAAGAGGTAATATGTGTGGATGAACTGGAAGACGTTAGCTGTTATTTGGGATTATTTGCTCCTTGAAAAAAAAATAATTACACGATGATTATACAATAGAAAAAGTAGATGCTCAAACAGCAGTTTTACTAACTTGCAGATAAAAGCCACCTTGGACATTTGTTTAGATACCCTCCCTTCCTCATGCAGGTTGCAGAGACTCCTTAGTCCTGTGTCCCTAGGTTCTGTCAGGGGAAGGACCCTGGTGCCGTCAACGCTTCTGCTGGCATTCCTTTTTCCTGAATCCCAATGGCAGCACGCCGCTTGCTAGCTGGGAGAACATTGGCGAGTCAAGCTCTGAGTCTCAGCATTCTCCTTTATAAAATGGGCACAGCAATAAAAAAACAAAATTCCAAAACATCCCAAACATCCAAAACAGTGTGATACTGCTGGACCCAGGACAGATTCACCGCTAGGCAGGCCCCCTGGTCATACGCCTGCATCCTACAGGAACTGATGGGAACCGTTGGCCCTCGGGCAACTCCCTGCCCGAGTCTGCTGCTCCCAACTCCCGCTGACTGGCAGCCAGTTCCTGCTGCAGGGTCCCAGCTAATCCCCACAAAAGTAAAATGCAGAATGCTTTAACATCTATTTTTGAACTTAAATTGCTTTGTCTTTTTCATCGAATCAAGTGCAACGGAGCAAAAGTTCTGCGTTTGTCACCAATCCTTTATTGAAACTGGTAACTTAACACACTTTATAATACAACAACAAAAATAATGTTCATTATATACAGCCTTCGTATGGACTATCTGACTATACACAAGGCAGAGTGATAACACAATCTAATCTTCATTATATGTGTGCACAAAAAGACACCAAACAGACAGCATGTGCACATTACAGTGAAATGACATCACAGGTCCAGTGACAATTCAGCATAATACAAAACACACTGATCTACTGCAAATGACATCTTTCTAAACACCCAGCTCTGACTCAGTAGTAATTTACCCAGAGTCTGAAGCAGAGATTGGTTGTGTGGCTATAAGTCTCTTCAGTGAGATAACCTCTGCAGATAAGTTTGCTATCCCCTGCTTCAAGTACAAATTCTCTGGGTCAGAAACTTTGTAACCATTGTCTTTAATTTCAACAACTCCAGCTTTGAAACTATTCTGAGTTTTGCCATTCAGTTCTTTTTGATGCCAGTGCTCCGATTTGAGAGACCAATCTTGAATGCTAGTCACTTGCACTGAGAAAGGAGGGAGGGCAGAATGCACCACGCTAGGGGTGCTATGCTTTTCGAGTTCAAAATGTCCTTTAGATGTCATGTCAACAGGCGAGGAAAGTTTGTGTGTGGCATCGAACTCATTATCAAATGCTTCCACTTTGATCTGCATGGCTTTGGCTTTGATCCGAAGCTTGTGTGGCAAGGCGGAGGAATTCACTTCTGGGACTTTGACCACTGTCGCGTGCACACGTTTAAGTTCAACTGGAGAATGGATGGGGCCCTTGGGCACCTGCTGCTCGTCCTCTCCATCAGATGACTTTCCTACAACACCGTCGTCGGTTTCAGACGTTCTCGGAGAGTTACTGGAGGATCGGTTGGCTTGCAGCAGAGGGGGAGAGTGTGAGTAGCCAGAAAAGGAACTCGCCATGTAGTTCTGATACATGGATGCTGCGTAGGAGCCCCGGTCTTCGCGTGGCTCCCTTGCATAGCTCTCGAGTTCCATCGGCTCTTGCTTGATGATTTGGAACTTGTTTTCAGGACTTCTGCAGCCCCCCTGCACAGGGCTCTCCTGCACGTGGTCTAGGGAGGACACCTCTGAAACGTCAGACACAGAGCTCTGGGGAGAGTGCTTAATGACGGAAACGCAACCGCTGGCCACCATCGCCGGCTCCTGCTCATCCACACATGAGCTGCTCACGCCGGACGTGGACGTCTGGTAGTCCTGGAAGTACACAGCGGCAGAACTACTGAGCTTCTGAATCTCTTGAGCATACGCCGTGGAGCTAATTAAGCCAAACTTTAATTTTAGTGAAAGCAGTTCAGCTTTTAAAGTGGCGTTTTCTTCTCCCAGTGCAATCAGTTTGTGCTCTAAAACCAGGTCATTTAGTCGACGCTTCTCCCGAGATCTCTTGGCAGCTTCGTTATTTTTCCTCCTTTTTTCCCAGTACATAGCATCTTTCTTTTCATCAGGAATGAATTCCCGTTTCCGCCGACATGCAGAAGATTTGTTTTTCCCCACACTTCCTTCATTCAGAAGTAACTCTTCACCTGTGGTCAAGTCTTCGGACACTTCGGATAAAGCAGAATTGAGTGTCATCATCTTGTCCGCGTTGCTACTAGTGTCAGGAGAGGCCTGCTCCTTTTTGATGGTCTGCATTTTTCTCAGCTGCATCAGAAACAACCTTACTCTGGATGTATCGTAGGAGAACAAACTATTTTTCCAGTGTTCTCAAACTCTTTAAGAAGTGTGGTTTAAAATCCATGAATACCCTTCCTTTTGTGCCACTGTCTGGGATAAACGTCAGGCTCTTCTTACTGAATGGGGTAGAGCCTTCTTTGTTACCTGCAACACATGAAAAGAAACATTATTCATTTGATAAATGTTTGTTAGCCAATTACATACAAGGAACTGTGCTGAGCATTTAGAGTAAACAAGCACCGACAAGGCACAGCTCTTTCCTTCAAAGAGTCTGCAATCTCCAAAAGGAAGCAAGTACCCAAATACTGTACTGTAAAGCTGTAAAGGGCAAATCTCCAGGGAGACCTGTCCGCTGGGGACTATGTGTTCCAGGAGGGTTGAAAACCACCACCACCACCAAAAACCAAAAAAAAAAAAAAAAACAGGCTTTACCCAAGGAGAAATAGAGGAAGGCTGGGTTTAATGAGAAGAATGACAGGGTGGGGCATGTGGGTGTGAGGCCATTACAGGAAGGAAATGACAGACGCCTCTGGTTGGTAATTTTCTAAATAGTATTTGCATACTGTGGTGCTTCCAAATCATTTCAGATGGTATTTGTATCACTGCCAAGCAAACATGCTCACCTCTTAAAAGGAACTCTACCAAGTAAACTCATTCAATGGCAGTAAACAAGTTGTGCAATCATATATAGAATAAATATAAATGGAGCGAAATTTTTATTTCCACAAAAACTAAAATAAAAGCCACATTAACAACTGAGTTGTTGGGTTTAACCTGTGCCTTAATGTCAACATAAACCTGCCCACCACGTCCCTGACTACCTGGTGGGCTTATGTCCCAGCAAATTCCACCAGGTGACTCACCACACCTGAAAGAAAAGGATTTTTCTTGATAAAGTTTTCTCTTTGGAAGCATCTGTGCTTATGAGATCAGAAATATTCCCTTATTCTGATTCCTTCAAATTGATTTATCAAACATACAAGATTGAAGCATCCAAAATACTCTTTTTGGTCCTGAAAATTGTGTCATAATAGATTTCAGTTATATAGTAGCTTTAGCGTAAAATAAACAGTTACTATTCAAGGGATTTTTTTTTCTTTTTAAAGGACGGACCATTCTTGAAACTTAAAATTATTTTAAACAGAGAATATAATTATGGAAAGAATTTCTTTCACTTTTACTAATTAGTTTCAAATAAAATATAAGAACTCCAAAATAGAATCATCAGCTAGCTTCCTCTCACACTGATGAAACAGTTATAATATATGAACTTAGTCTGACATTTGCCTGTCAAGGCAAATGAGATTAAATCCCTATTATGTTCCAATGACAGTCTTTTCATGGTGGTTTTTGGATCTGTGTTTCTAGACCTCGTTTCTCTGCCTAATTTTCCAGTTGGTAATACTTTTCATGAGGCAGACGTGCTGCGACAACTGCCCGTTCAGCACCACCTGCCCAGAGTGGCGCTCCATCCTGCCATGTCAAAAAGATTTAATGTTTTTGCTTACGTCACTCTTTCTTTTTTATGCATAGTTTTATAATGACTAATGAAATGAAGTTTAATTTTATCAATTGGAAAAGGCTGACAGCTTCTTTTGTCTTTTCCAGAAGGAACAGAAGGGATGATGTAATAATTTCAGGGTCATAAAGAGTAAGGTTTCATGCCATGTTTTTGTCCATTAAACAGAGCCGACATGTTTAAGGGAACACCCAGTCACAACTTAGAGAAGCTTGTGATTATTAATACCAAGTTTCTGTTTTTTGATACTGAAACTTTAATGAGAAGTGATGGCAGGGACCATGTTATAGGAGGCAGCGATTTTGTAGAAAAGGAATCTATTTATCACTTGGTAAAACGATACTATGTCCTATAATTTCCATTTAGGGTTTGTCTTCTAATACGAAAGCCCATCTTCCTCTATATAGTGAATGGATTCTTTCTTCCAGTTAAAGCTTGTATTCCTTAATTCAGCCAGGTCCTCACCCCTAAAGTAAAGTGAGTGATGAAGCGAAGAGTAAGAGATCCCAGCTGAGGGGGGACAGTTACCCTGATTGTGCTAAAGGTGCCAAATCTCCACTGTATCCTCAGCTACTATTCTTGTTAATTTTTAGTTTTTAAATATCATATGGTCCCTTGCATACTATTATTCTGGGTATTTTCTCCACTTGAGAATCTTTCTCTTCCATCCATTTTCTTATTTATCCCTTCCTTTAAAAAAATCCTGTTCTTTTCACGTTTTGCCTCATTTATTAGCTTTCACAGTAATGCTTTTGAAATGCCCCAGCATTCCACCTGTTTTAGTTTCTCTTCCTAAACTTTTCATGATTTCTCTCCATATCGAGTGAAATGAGAACTTTTTCAACCTCCTGGCCCAAAGGTGTGCACTCTGGGTATGGACCTGGGTGCTGCCAGTGGGGCAGGTGGCCGTGGCCACACAGCGTTGGGACGCCGGCCTGCTTCCACTGCACTAAGTAGGACCATTTATCTTAAAATTTCTTTATCCCAGGCCGGCCCGGTGGCGCACTGCTGCAGTGCACCGCTTGGGAAGTGCGGCGGCGCTCCCGCCGAGGGTTCGGATCCCACATGCAGACCGGTTCCCGCTCACTGGCTGAGCGAGGTGCGGATGCAACGCCGAGGGTTGCGATCCCGTTGCTGGTCCCGGTCCGGTACGGGCGCGACACTGAGGGTTGCGATCCGTTGCCGGTCACAAAAAAAAGACAAAAAGACAAAAAAAAAAAAAAAAATTTCTTTATCCCTTTTTTCCAGGTACTGAAGCACTCCAGGTCCACCTTATCACCTCCAGTGCTCTGTTAGTACACAAAAACGTACAAAAACCCTTACTTCTTTTTAATCTTCTTCCTGTTTGAATTTCGCGGTGTGTCACTATGAAGCTGTGCACACTCTGTCTTGACCACTCAACTGGCAAGTCACCACATACTTACTGTCTCAGGGTATTTTCTGTGATATTTTTTGTCGAGTAATGTGGCAGTGTTGAAGAGTTTCTCAGCACCGCGGGTGACAGAGAGAGGCGCTGATCTCCTGCACTGCGTATCACGTTTGTCTTCTCTGCTCAACTAAACTGCAAATTACCTTGAGGTGGAAATTAAAATATACTTGTAGTCTTCTAGCAACAAACTAAAGATACTGGGTGCTCAACATTTGACTGTAGTCACCCATTTACCTCATAAAAGAGAGTTTTATAACCAGAAAACATTTCTGATGCTCTCTTTATAATTTAAAATTGTGTAAATTCTAAAGATGTTTTAGTTATTAACAAAGCTTCTTATTCATTAATCAGTTTCTCTGACACATATAGAGCACCTACTGTGCACCCACTGGGTGCTGAGCTAGACTCGGGGCCCAGACTGCCCAGACTGCAGGAACTCCCAGGGAGGTGGGAGACAAACGCGGGAGCACAGCTGAGGTGTGCGCACGGAGTTCTGCACACACCAGGCAGGCGCGCGTAGCACGGAGGCCCTTCTCGGTACAGTGGTAATAACAAAACAATATTAATAGGTGCCACTTACTGAACACTTACTATAAGCAGGCACAGGGAGCCTGCCTGGCTTTATTTCATTAACCTTCACAACAGCCATTTGCAGATGAGAAAACTAAGTAAGGTTCAGAGCAGTTAAGCAACTTGCCTAAGGTCACACAGCTAGTTAAGTGGTGAGGTAAGATTCCAGCCCAGCCCTGACCCCAACTCCAATTCCTTCCACAGTGCCCTCTCCTACACTTTCACAGGGTCATTCTGACCCCTGCCAGTCTCATTTACATATAGCCCTTTCCTGCATCTCTCTCATTTCTGAGTAATACACACCCACTTCCTAAGTTACTCTGGGGGCAGTAAGGCACTTTTAGATGCTGTACTAACTTCTTTAAGCCAACAGAGGTACCACTTAGAATTTTCTCCATCTTCCCCAGTGGTTTCATATCATGAGAGTACATAATGAATTGAGGAAACATTTTATTAATTTTCAAGTCTCTGCTAAGATTTTAATCCCCTGGTAATTCTGTTTATGTTAAAAAATAGAAGAAAAGAAATATGATAGCTGTGGACATTGCCACAGTGGATGGCACAGTGGAAACACAACAGTGTTTCCATTTTCAGGAGGCAGGGAGCAATGTCTCTCTGACCCTTGCATTTTGCAGCTGAATGGTTCAGCTAAAAAGAAAGGCTGAGTGACTGTCCCGAGATCACACAGCACTGAAAGACAGAGATGGGCCCCGGAATCTATTTATGTTCCTCAACAATAGATTGCATTAAAGCAAACGCAATGGTGGTTTACAAATGCCTTCTAAAAACACTAGCCTTTATGCCAACCTAACAATTTTATTTCAAATCCCAATATTTTCCCTTATGATTAATTTAACAATTACTTCATCTATGCATCATCTTTTCAAGTCAACATTTAATGCTGTGGCACATTAGTCACTGCTTGTTTCTTTTTTGGTGAATAAATGACATTACATGCCAATTCTATGAGGGTAATATATTCAGCATGATTAACTTCATTACACCCATTAAATGATATGACTGTTTCTTAAAAACAAATAAAAAGAAGAAATTTAAGAGAAGGAGTCATCACATGCCAGTTGACATATTTTTCCATACCTAATGTGAAGATGTCATCATTAATTAATTCTTTTTTATAGTACACTATTTCTATAAGCAGGATTTTTTAAAGTTTATGTAAAAGTCAGCTTACCTAAATATTGTTTTTAATTAAGAACAAGATTTGACTTAGAAAAATAACTAAAAGGCAAAAAAATTAAAAAAAAGGATTTGACTTAGAACATTTTCTAAAACAATACAACTTTATAACATAAATTCTAGACCAAATTTATCCTTGAGGAGTTGTATTATTACTTATGTTTATAATGATAAACTGTATTTTCCCTGGTCTCTACACGATCTCTCACAGGGTTATGTTTGACAATTCAAACTCTTCACAAAGAAAGAAAATAAATACTTGGTTTCAAGCATCTAAAGTCTTACTAGTAGTTTGGACATTCAAATCTACTACGAGAAAATTTTATTAATTATCTCTTGAAAGGGTAAGTTTTATTGCAAATTGCTTCTGTTATATATTTCAATTTCAAAATCCTGCCAATACAAGATGAAATACTATTTGACGTGTCCAATGATTTGGTAAGACTTTTACAGAAATATCTCATTTTCT